TGTGTGTGTGTGTGTGTGTGTGTGTGTGTGTGTGTGTGTGTGTGTGTGTGTGTGTGTGTGTGTGTGTGTGTGTGTGTGTTGAAATATACTGAAACAACAAAGAGCTTCACTCCTTGTAAATCAACAACACAATTTTTATTAAAACAGAAAAACATTCCTGGCATGTTTGTCATTATTCAAACCATGTTTTCAGTTCACACCCTTTGGCTTTTGTATGACTCTGAAACAATTAGATCCCCCTTATTTATGTGGTGACACACCAAATTTAAAATTCCTGAACGCAAACCTGGTTTTGGAAATGAAGTCATTCAGAATTCAACAAATGAGACTGTTTGTTTAGGATCTATCCAAGCTCCTTACAAGAGATTTCATGACACTTGAACTCTATGACAAGATCAGCCCAGGTGAAGGAGACCAAGTGATCACATAAGAAGGGCCTTTAATCCGACTCTGCAGGTGTGCTGTACTGTTTGGATCACTGTTTTGTAGCAGCTGCCATATGTTTATTTTCTGGGTTCTTCTGTTTTCTATGTGGCAGATTTTGGGAATTTACTACTAATAAAAGCACATCGTTTTTCCAAATAAAGGCAGTTTTAGTTAAATAAAGTAATAACACACGTAGCAACATTAAAGTTCTCCCTAAACTATATTATCAAATTATAAGCTGTATGTTATAGATACAGCTCTATTAACTTGTTAGTTTGCAAGATGAGATTACTTTATTTAGGTTACAATTATTTAGAGTTACTTTAGAGTAGAGTATTTCCCCTTCTTCACCAGCAAATTTAACTTTTCAATGAACTGTAAAATTTGAAAAGGCACTTATTGAAGTATTTATAAACGTGCTGATTAACTGTTCAGGCATCCAGACGGCAACATAGTTAATGTGACATGTATCATCACTACCGGGTGTGCCTGTCCAAAGTAGCCTTGAAGGCACTGACACAAACTTAAACACAGCTTTGATGTCATTAATTTAAGACAAATGCCGTCTTAATGAGCTTGCAAACCGTACTCTACTGCCACTTTCTGGTAACAGTAGAAGCTGCTTAAACTACTGTCCCTGAGGTGAAACACAAAGAAGGTGTTTAAAAATACTTCAAAATGCTATTCTCAACTTTGCAAATGTTCATGTTGCAGCATTTGTTGTGATATTGCCATAGTTCGAGCACTAATAGTCTTGGAGCACGATGAAAATATGAACAACAGGAATTAAAATGAGATGCTTGAAGAAGGCCTTACACAACAATATTACACATGTGCTGTTTGTTTTTTGTTTTTTTGTTTTTTTATTAAAACAGATGTTCTGCAAATATGCAGAGGTGGCAAAAGCACAGACATCCTGTGCAGACAGTAGTGTTGAAAAATACTCCAGTAAAAGTTGAAGTACTGATTCAACTTCTATACTCAATTAAAAGTAAAAAAAAGTACTGCCTCAGAAATATACTCAAAGTTAGAAAGTAACTCCTAGACCTGTTTTTATGGAAAGCTAACTGGACCTCGTGCCTTATTCATGTAATAATTAAATTAAATTAGTAGATATGAATACAAACTTTATTTCAGTCTAAATATTAATTCTAATAAACATACTCTGCTTGAATCCGTTAAGCTGAACATGAGCAGGGAAAAAAAAGGAAAAAAATAAAAAAATAGCTCTATTTTCTGTTAATCACATGATGATCAAATGAACACAGTCAGGGTTTAAAGTGGGATTCAGCAGGTGGGGGAACCCTAAAATCAGCTGTAACGGCTCAGTATGAGGAAAAAGAATCACAACTCACAATAATTTCTGAGTGCTTCAGTAGATTTTCTCAATGTACAGGCTGTGATTAGCTGACCTGCTGCTCTTTGAGGATGTACACAACTGAATTCAACCAGATGTGAGCAGGTGTTTCATGAGTTGTCCTGGCTCATTTCCATCGTCTACACTGACAGTACACTGTTTATGCTGTCTTTATATTACACCCTATGCAGCTGGTATGCAGCTAGAATTTGATGAATGAATCTAGGCATTATCAGCTAAAGTTCATATTAATCTCTAGTACTCTTTATGTAACTTAACTTGACCATGAGCACCACACTCACTGTGCACCAGTCACACACACTTTAAATCCATCACAGTACAGGAAACTAACCAGTTTATCCTGCACTAAACTGCAGACTATTTTCATGCAACCTTTAAGTAACACAGTCAGCCCACCTCATTTTATTTTGCATAATATAAAAATTAATAATGTCACACACAAACAATTTGTATGTTTGCTGATGTTTGTTAAGCTGGTAGAAATGCTGCATTTGAAATTACCTGCCACGAAATATAACTCCCTTTATGGTCACTCTTCTTCTGTAGGGCTAGCTAGATGCTGAAGTACCGCTACCACAGCTTACCTGTGGACACCTGCAGTCGTTCTGACACCAAAACCCCCAGAAAACAAACATTTTTTTTAAAAATCACTGGCTCACTTTAACCCCAAACTGTGGCACACAGTTTTTTTTGCATCTTTCATCTCTTTTTACCCAGCATCTCCTGGTGATTAATACACAGGATTGCCTTTAATGTGTTACTGCTTAGGCTCAAATGGGTTTGATGTTTGAAGGCCCACAATGACATGAAATTATAAGTCCCCTCAAATGTTAAATCAAAAGTAACGAGTTAAAATGTTAGAAGTAGAAAATGCAGATATTTGTTTAAAACGTAGGGCTGAAAGTAAAAACGTTTCCATTAAAAAACTACTCAGATAAATTCTACTTAAGTGCAGTAACAAAGTATTTGTACTCAGCAAATATGTAATATACTTTATTATGCTGATACAAGCCCTTTTGCTCTGCTCAGATTCAATGTCAATGTCAGCACTACTAATTATGAAGTTACACTAAACCAATCTCTGGGTATTTGTGTAGACATCAGGCAAACATGCACACTATTTCAGAGTTACATAAAACATGAAATTTGCAGATTACCCTCTCTAATCCAAAAAAACAACTTGTTCATCTTTGCACAATATTGCATAGCGGCCTAAAACGCAAAGTCCATCTGCCCTGATCTAGTTTGAACCGGCAAGATGTGTGTGACTGAAACTGAACATTTTGCAGCCTCACCTGACACATTTGACGTGCTTATGCTTCCAGTACGATGGAGACAAAACTATAATAAAAGAAAATCCACATACAAAAACGGTTTCACTTTTTTTGTAGGTCAGGACACTTAAAGTTTAAAGTTTTTTGAGGGTCCAAACTCACATTTTTCCCCCCGTTTTTTTTCCAATGTTGCAAGCTGTTAATGCTCTGGAGTGAAATGGGGGAATATGAGGAGAAGCCCAAATGATCATGCATTATGACATGTAAGAGGCAGCCAGGATTACTGGGCTATTTGACAGAGGATTACAGAGTGGAAAGTTGCAAAGAGCATTGATGCTTTAGAGTGAAAGAAAGCATGAAAGGTTCAAAGCACCCACAATATGTTTGCAGCAACAAAAGTTTTAAAAGGTAAATAAAATGTGAGTTTTCCTTACTAAAAAGAAAAAAAGGCTTTTGTGTAGAGGGTTAACGTTTCTTTTATTTATGTTGCTACTGCGGAGGTCAGTAATAATAATGCACTGCTTTAGGCAACATTAGGGCAAGTGGGGAAAAAATAAGATAAAATCTTGTGCTGTTCTGTGCTGAAGTAGCTGAAATTGTGTGTTTATAGAATTCTACATTGCATTGTGTCATGGGCAGTGGAAAAGGATTACAACAAAAAGCAGCATCAATCCCCCACCCACAAATCATATAAAGACATCAGAACAAGAAAGAAAGCAGATGTATCTGTGCTCCAGAAAATGAGAGCTGCCAATCTCAGCCAGTCATTTAAAACCCTGATCTTAAGTGAATACATGCAAGCCCCGTCAGAGATGAACTGATCTTCTTGCGTCACAGGGGACAACACATGGAGTTGGGGGAGAGGGTTTGTGTGATCTGATCATAAAGTGACGGCAGGAGGGGATATTGGAGAGGATGACAGTGTTTGGGTATTATGTCAAATGAACAATGCCATTGGCCAAAGGATATCTGATGTGCCATCTGTGCGGGTTGGTCAGTGCAGATCATGTGTGATACGTCGTTGCTGTGTTGCGTGTGTACACAGAAAAAAAACGGGAACTGTGACGTACATGTACAGTGACTGAGATAGGATTTAAAGAAATCAATGAATAAAACTAAACTGAATGCCTTTCAGCACATTATCCACAAAAAGGAAACTTCCTCTCTGCATAACCTAATCCTATGAATGAATTTCACTCAGATGCAATCAAGCGCAATTTTTGCAATTTGATCTTTAAGGCTATGCCTATCTTCAAATATGGAACACACAACTTAAATAATAAAACAATGAGATTCAAATAAACTTGTGTTTTCTGGTAGCCGCAAACTACATAAAACCAGACTCAAAAGTAAGGTTCTCTCCCTACTTTGAGATTTTCCCCTTATAATCCTGCTTTAGCAAAACTATAAAAAGGGCTAAACAGACACTGACAACAGACAGTATGTTTTAAAGCAAAATATATTTTCTGCTGGGTATTTGTAAGAATCTATAGTAACTGACACTAATTCTGCATATGTGCTTGCTTTATGTAAAACCTTTGTAGAATTTATAGAAAATGTAGTAAAACAACCACTTTAGTCTGCACACATGAAACATGTTGAGGTATATATGCACTACCACACAAAAAATGTAACTAGAACATTTTCTATTTACAAGGTGTGAGGTTTTTTCATATAATAACCATCTGTTTTTCTAATTAAAAATCCATCCTAACTTACACTTTTGACATGACAAGAAGAAAATGAGGTAAAAATTAACACGCATGTAAATCCATAGAATAATGCTTAAGTGCTAACACATAATAGTTGATAAAGAAGCTAATATCCATCATTGGAGAAGCTGGAAAAAAGTCTTCTTTAGAAAGTCATTTGATATCGTTCTGATTGAAATCAATGGCAAAGGCTTTTTCTTTTCTGTTTCAAATATTTATAAAATGAATTATTACTGATAGTTAAAAATGCTGCATTGTGATAACAAGAGAGATGCATTATACTTCAGTCTGAAAAAAATCAACTTCAGCACAGCCTCTACCCTGGTGCAAATCCTTGACATAACGGCCATCATTCACATCTTTGCAACAACCTCCTCGGCCTAGAACAGAGGAAGAGATGAGATTAAAAGCAAGGCAGAAAATATGATCATTCCCCTGAATATTGTAGTAATATAAGCCTAACAGCACTGGATCTTGAGCCACTCCTCATTTCTGCATGTTTTGCTATGATAAAGGGAAAAAAGTGCAACAATTCTTTTAAAACGTGCCCAAATTTTTAGAATTATAGTATATAAGACAACAACAGAGTTTGTAGAGTTCTAACAAGCTTTAAAGTCAATAAAAACCTATACTTTTCAACACATCCTTAACTCTATGAGACAAGCTTTCTTGTAATTTAATTTAGCAGTCTTCTTTGGATGTTGACTGCCTTTTGTTCTGTTCTCTGTTCTCTTCAAAAATTTGAGGTCTGGGCTCTAGATCTGCTGATCCATCGACTCTTCTAGAGGGGGCCCAATGCCTCACTCAGGGCATGTGTCAGGTCTTTTCTTTTCTTTTAAAGCATATACTGCACAGCATGCCTAGACGTTTTCAACTAATAGCACTTTGAAACTCACCTTGTTGAAGCAAACATATTTTTTATGTCTATCCAACTGTGTTAGCTTTGGCTTTTTTCATAGACTAAAGAAATGGGGGGAAATGATCTGTTTTTGCAACAGGCTGTTCAAAACAAAGTGCCTAAAGATAGAATTTAAAATAGGTTTGTTACTAAGTTGTTTGTTATGTGTAGGCACAAGTGTCTTTATTATGCATGTCTGATTCAGGTCAGTGTTAGGTGGCTTAACACACAAAAAAAACATTCAAAAAACAAGCCAAATATCGAGAAATAAGGGGTGGCTCAGGACTTTTTCACATTATAGTAGAGCTAGCTTATTTATTCCAAAAATAGAAAGTAAGACATTGTTCTATAACAATGTCACTGCCATGTTTTCTGTTGTTGTTTTAACTTAGGGTTTTTTAATATAATTCAGCTGTGAGTCTGCTGTGGTCAGCTTTGGCCTTATTCAGTCTGTCCTCTGACCTCCTCCTCACCTTCCTGTCTTCACTGGAACCTTTATTAACCAGGCCCTCATCACTGGCAGCCTGCAGACTGTCGAAGGTACCCTGCCTCTCCCTTTCCATGCCTCCTGCTGAGCCTCTGTCTCTCCTTCGGTTCTTCCAGCTCTCCATTATACCATCCAAACAGGCCAACCTGGTGTCAGTGGTGCATGCATACATGCCTACAGGCACTGCCAGCACCATGGCTAAAACTATCACTACTATATGTATCAGCTTCTCCCTCTGTTCCATCTCAGTGATGTCACTTCCTGTTACAAAGATGATGCACTGTTCTGGGCGTGGTGCGTGATTCTTGAGGGTTACACAGATTTCATATTTAGTTGCAGGCATCAGGTCCGAGATGGAGTAAGAATTAATCCCAGGTCCAATGTAGATTATTTCTTTTTTATCAGCATCTGCACGACCAAAGTGGATCGTGAACCAGGTTTCAGTGGGACGTTCTAGGGCAGCGAACCACTCAATGGAGATACCCCGTATTGTTTGCTTGGCGATGCGGATGTCGATGTAGACATTTTCATCACCAGTCCGCGGTACAGCTGGGAGGAGTGAAGACTGGGAGCTTCCTGCAGAGCGCACCTCTAGAAAGATGCTGACGGAGGAGTTTCCAATGAAGTTGACAGCGATGCAAGTGTAGACACCATGATCAGCTGCATGGACAGAGGGGATCACCAGGAGGGATCTGATGGTGTCATCATCCACTCTTTCTTGAGATTCTGGGATGACATTAGGGCTGTTATTTTATGGGAACAGCAAGCTTACAGAGTAAAATATTTTTAAAAATTAAATAACATTAAATAACATTAAATAAAAAGACTAAACAAAAGTGTCCTGCAACTGATCTTCCACAAACATACATAGAATTAAAGAGTCCTGTACTTTATTAGACAGTCATAGATACATATTGTCTGTTTTTTGTTTTAAACAGTTAATTGTTCAGTCTACAAAATCTCATAAAATAACAACTAATGTTCATTATATATTGTGCAAACCTAAGATGAAGTGATCATTACCCTGATAGGAGCTAAAAAGTTCAATTTACTGTAACCTGCACTATATTTCCATCTATAACAAATCCCAAGAATTTTGCAACTTGAACAATTTTGTTGTTCTTAAGTCAAAATAGAGGATGGTTTGTTTTGCTTCATCCACAAAATCGAAGGTTTAAAATCATAATTATTCTCCTGTGATCTCACATTGTAGACTGTAGTTATTATACTTGCATGGCTCAGTATTGTTATAATGTTTGAGAATATTTCTTATGAGCTAAGACAGATGAATGTCAGCAGCAGAAATAGTGGTGGGACAGCAATGGGGGCAGTAGTGTGGTTATTATGAGTTTGCATGTTCTTTGATTGATCTGCAGTAAGCACTCCTCTCAGCAAGTTAAGTCTAATGACACGCCGGTTTATTTAATTACAAGGTGGCCAAACAAGATGGACAGCAGTGTAGACTCTTAATCAACACTGACAGTGTTGTGCAGATTGGGAGATTGGTGGTGCTTACATCACCATGTGCATACATTGAGTTTTAATCCTCTTGATCTTAATAAAGGTTTGCTGCGCCACCATTGAAATGTGTGTTTAAGTATCAGATGTGCTGTAGTTTATTACACACTATGGTCACCACACTCTTACCATGAAATCCTCTGATTATCTTCAGACCATATGTCCACCACACTGAAGGGTCAGGCCTTGCTTTGGCGATACATCGCAGGGTGACGTTGGCGCCCTGTGGCAGGCTGATGTTGGCTGATGAGGTGCTGACTTCAGGCTTCATGCATGCCTGTAGCTCTATCTCATGGAAGAACTTGCCCGCCCTAAAGTCCGGCCCTGAGCAAGTCAAGTAGGAGTTCATCAATATAATCGGAGGGCTCAGAGACCTGATGAACTCCACGAAGCCCTTTAGGCGACAATCGCAGAGCCAGGCGTTGTCGTGGAGTGCCAGGACGACGTTTGGCCCAGATGTTGTCGCCTCCCGCTCCTCCATGTTCTGTAATTTTTGGTAGAGAGGCCAGTTTTGGAAGACCTCCTTCGATATCACCGTAAGACGATTGAAGGATAAGTCTAAGTAAGTCAGACCTGGCAAAAACCTTAACGCATGCTCCGGTAGGACGTCCAGCTGGTTGTGCTTCAGATCCAGGATCTTGAGAGCCGGCGTGTCCTCGAATGCTGTCCATGGTACTGAACGTAGCTTATTGCCTTGCAAACGGAGCTCGGTTAAGTTCCTCAAACCCTCCAGACCCTTTGAGTTTATCAGTGTGATTTCATTAAAGTTCAACCACAAGTTCTCCAACGTCAACGTTTTTGAGAAAGCCCCTCTGGGTATTTCAGTAAACTGAGACTTTTCAATTCGTATTTTTGTCAACTCATGTGGAAGGTCTTGTGGTATAGCCCCAAATGCTCTCTCCTCCATACATATTAATGACCTAAGATTAAAAGAAAGAGTTTATATGATGATGCTATTATTTATTGTAATATCTGACTGACTGCTAGGATCCGTCAAAAAACAAATGTTACCTTCTGGAGGCAAATAACTATATAACTATGTATTATAACTATATTCTGTATCACTGACTCGTATACACCCACAGACATATAAATAAAACAGAAATCACCAGGAGAACTGAACTACTTGAAACCAGTTCTTACCTTCCATGTCGGTCTTCTACACAGCTGCACCCGCGTAAACACTGAGAAAAAGTTTCCCAAGCCTGAATGTTTATTAAAACTATAACAAGCAGGTAACAAATTATGTCCATAGTCCACAAAAAAAAAAAGATCCTGAATTTGAGGGCTACATTCGTGCTCCAGACATGCCGAGTGCGGCAGACCAGAGAAGCCTATTAAGCTTAATCCCTGACGTACAGTGCAGGAAGAAGTGGCATTTAAGACACGCACGATTAACACTTAGTGTCACTAGGTCTGACCCACTGTGCCTTTTAGATAGCTCTATATTTTGATTAGTAAACTACAAATAGTTCAAAGTTTGATATTGTCCAAGAGATTAAATATGCAGATATATAAACAAAATATTTTTTAATGAACTTTGTAAGTGAAGATTACAGAGACCCATAGTATCTCAGAACCAAAGTATGGAGACTGATTATTATTGTGAGGTGAAGTAGAGTTATAAGAACACACAATATCACTCAAGTACATGCAGTATAAAAGTTTATTTGACTATATTCAAATAGGTAAGTATCATTGGAACGAACAGATCTACTTTTAATGGGGTAATGATGCCTCTAGGTGGCACAAAATAGTCACATGGAAAGATTTTAAGTATGTGCCTCATTGGGGGAATATAAATGATTTAACGTTTCCTTTTTGCACCATCTCCACCCTATTTACATTGTGTCATAGTTCAGTCCTTCAGTACTTCTCTCCAGCTCCAGCTTCTCTCCATTCACCAGAGAAATGAACCATGCCTATGTGTATATCTTCTCTCAGAACATATGACAGATATATACAGAGGCACAGAATTAACTGCATATGTATATGTGTACATAATCTGATAAAGTATTTACAAATCATACACATACATATATGATATAAACAATGGATTGTCTACCATTGACTTCCCTTTAAATTAAATTGGATTGGAGAGGTTTCTTCGCTGGGCCGTGCACGTGAGGTGGAATAAAACTTTAGTGTTTGCTGTGCTCTTTCACTTCATGCATCATGTTTTCTTCTTACAGGCTTAGTGATAAAAAACATTCTTTTAGACATAAAAGCATGAGCGCGCTTGCAGTTTAATATTAATGGATGAATATGCGTGTAACAGTCCAGTGAGTTTCACTACATCTGCAAGAAACATGAAATTTTCCAGATCTACGCAGTTTCCCAAATTCTTTAAACTGATATTTCCATTATTGTGCAGCGTGCAAAAGTCCGTTGATAGAAGTTGGCTCTCTGTGGCGGTGGAGTTGGTGGCATTATCCAGCGAGGAGGGATGGGAGGGGGTGTATGGGAGCGCGTTAGAGGGGGACTGACGTCAGGATGCTGCTGAGGGGAAGAATATGGGTAATGCTGGGGATACGGATGTGGGTTGAGATGGGGATGAGGGTGCCGGTGGGCATGTGAACGAGTTTTGGGGTTTGGACTGTGACGCGAGTGTGGGTGAGTGCGGGGAAGATGACGTGGAGCAGGAGCCGGAGCTGGAGCATGACGTCAGCAGAAGTACTCATTAGGCTGTCCCTCTATTTTAGCTGTGGCCTCGGAGTCCAGGCTGGAGCGGGCTGACAGCAGCCGGTTGGACTCCTCGGGATTCAATCTGTTCAAATACTCACCCTCGAGCCCTTTGGCCTTTGTGCCGGGTGAGAGTGTTTCAAATGTAACATATGAATCTTGGATGTCTTTTGATTTCTTTCCCCAGTACTTCTGAATGCGTCTCTTCAGCGCCCCGCAGCATACAATAACAGTGAGCGGGACTGCAATGATACAGGCCACTGTGATCACAATAACATTAATCAGCTTCTGGGTACCAGTAGCACTAGCTGCTTCATCAGTGGAGAATATGACACACTGCTCCTTCTTGGGGATCAGACCCTTCACACACACACAAGCAATGTACTTGGTCCTGGGCACCAAACCATCGATGGTTACACGGTTCTGCCCAGCTCCAACATTGATCTTTCTCATGTCCCTCTCTCCAAACACTGCATAGAGCACACTAAATGCTGTTGTGTTTTTGGCTTTAGGGGCTCTCCAGTTTAGAGAAATTGTATTGTCTGTGTCCCCTACAACTTTTACTGAGCGGACCACTCTGTCCGGGTCCTGCTGTAACGATGAGGCGTTAGCTGCCAAGTTACTTAGATTAGTCTTTTCCAGATCCAGCAGTGCATCTGAGTTGGGGGAGGTGGCAGGCCCTGGGGTGGCTCCTTCAGTCAGGCTGTAACTGGATAGTCCAGGATCAGGCCCAACACCAGGCAGGAGGCCAGGATCCAGGGCCGGCAAGGATGAAGGAGCAGAGGTTGGAGCCACATATCTGGCCACCAGTTTCTCCTGGTAGGCAGCTTTGCCCATTTGGTTTGGTTTTTTGATTTTGGGCTTCTTGTCATTGTTGGTTTGGTTCCCCTCTGGTTTTGGCGAGTTGGAGACAACGAGGGAAATGACAGCCTCTGCATTCCCTGCGTAGTTAGTGGCCTTGCAGATGAATTTCCCTGAATCACGGTAGGACACTGCTGGTACACTGAGGATTGACCAGGTGATTCCTTCCTTTGAGGTTTCCTGCTGGACTGTAGTGGCAGAGATGGAATAACACAGTTATAAAATAACAACAGAAGAACGATTTAAAAAAAATAAAGTAATTTGACACCTGAGACGTCCCCTTTGACAAATGTGAAAAGAGACAACAAGCTGGTGATTACACAATGTTGCATTGATGATCAGTGTTGCGTAACTCACTGTGTTGGCAATAGATGTCACTCAGACTTACTAACTCCACTCGTGGCTCTCTATTTAATTAACAGCAGCAATACAGAGCACACAAAATCATCTTATCTCATCTATCCAAATAGCTGCTGACTCACCTGTTCCATTGAGGGCTCGTCCATCTGCCCTGCGCCATGTCAAGTCTGGGATGGGGACGCCAATGGTCCCACACCGGAGCAGCACATTGTTTCCAACAGCGCTCCTTACTCGTGCCACAGCTGTGTGGATACGTGGAAGCTGACAGCGGCGAAGCTCTGCGTCGCTGAACAGGACCCCCGACACACTCTCCGGAGCTGAACATCGAAGTCTCGTGTCGATGAAAGCCACTGAAAGAGTCGGAGACTTCTGGAACTGGACCAGGTCATAGAGCCGGCAGTCACACACCCAGGGGTTGTCATGGAGACCTAAGGGCAAGGGTACAAGTGAGGCTACAGGAGGAAGACAAGTGTCCAGCTGTGGACGAAGTGATAGACCAGCCTACAGATGGTTGGTGTGGATGTAGGGATGTTAATCCTGTAAGAGGATTAATATTTAATTCATAAACTACATCATGGCCATGACTATGGCAATGATTGTGATGATGACGATAATGATGATGATGATGATGATGATGATGATGATGATGATGATGATGATGATGATGATGATGGTGAAAATTGACTAGAGATCAAGATCAAACTTTGCTGTCATTTCACACTCCCTACAAGAAGATTATAAGAAGACTAGTTGTTGATCACAACACCTCCACCAACAGAGTGCATAGAGTTGTGTGTATTTTTATATATATATACAATTTGAACTGTGTTTTTCTTTTTTCTTTTCTTTAATAAAATGTAACTTAAATCCACCCATTATAAGAGATAATGTTTTAAACAAAAGCATCTTAAATCTGCTATGTTACACTCTAAAAGCATGTAATAGATGTCAATATACAGCCCGTTAATATTAGTTATTAAATATGGAATCTAAAGATGAAATATCAAATATTATAAGAGCTTCAGAAATTAATATTGAAACTGTTACCTTCATATTAAAGACAAAATGTTACTTTTTTCCAATGTTACTTTTTATACAATAGGTTTTTACTCACCAGAAACAGCTGTTGTTGTCAAATTATATATTGCTTATGTAAGCTTAAGATGCTTTTTTTTTAAAAATTAAAAAAAAAAGTTGCTTTGCAAAACGTTAGCACACTTTCATTAAGCTCAGAAGAAAACAATGCACCTAAAATGCACTTTAAAGGATTTAAAGGGAGACTTGATGTCAGGATGAGCACTGCCTCTCACCGAGTATCATCTTGGAGCTGTCTGGCCCTTGTGCAGGCTTTGCAGCCAGCCAATTGGACAGCACTTCTGCAGGTAGGGTCACCAGACTGTTGCTGGACAGATCCAAGTAGGTGAGGTTCTTGATGTAAGTGGTGGCCTCCGCGGGCAGGGAAGTGAGCTGGTTGTTGTGCAAATCGAGAAGTCTGAGGCTGGGCATATCCATGAGAGATTCCCAAGGAAAGGCGGTAAGGGCATTCCCGTCCAGCCGAAGCTCTTCCAGGTTATAAAGCCCCCGGAAACTGTCCGGGTTCAAGGCGGACAGCGTGTTAAAAGACATCCACAAGAATTCCAAACTGGAGAGGTAATTGAAGGCTTCGCTGGGTATCCGCTGGATGGACGTCTTCTCAATCCGCAGCTTGGAGGTGTCAACAGGAAACCCGACAGGCACGAGAGATATATCGGGATCATTGCAAATCACGCTCCTAAAAGTCGGAAAATATTTGTGTTAACTTCCCAAATTGCATTTGTGCATAGTTTACGAATCACTAAAACTTTAAACTAAATCGACAATTAATGACAACAAATGTGTATTCAAAAGTTCACAAGCAGCAAAAGTTATGTGGATAATGATTTTTTTTTAAACTTATTCCCCGTCCTACCAAAACACAAAAAAGCATAGATGAAAGCCTGAAAGTGCCTTTGAAAGATAATCCTGCATTAAATAAAATTGGAGCGGCATGCACTCCCTGAATTATCTGTTGTACACGTGTTCACCTCTGTGCAAACATCTGTCCTCATATGATGACAAAATGCATCACTGTGCAAAAAAACAAATAAAACAAAACAAAGAAACAAACACACAAAAAAATACCACACAAGATACATTCATTTCACTTTGGGCATCCAACTTACCTCGCCTTTGATCCATCACTCAGGTTGTGGTAAAAGCAGCTGCACTGCGAAGGGCAGGCGCTCACTGGGGAAAAAAGTTGACCCGTGGCCACGTAGAGCCCCAGCAGCAGGACGAGGAACATTTTGGCCAACTTTTATGCATACGCAATTTGCCTACATGCGCCCGCTTTGCGCCCACTGAAGTCAATCAGACTATTTTTTTTTCTCTTTCATTTACAGGAATGTCATCCGTACGGCGCTGTCCCACCGCTTCGCTGCCCCATAGTGATCAGACTACTATGAGTCCCGAGATAAAAAAGGATAGACAAGGATTAGCGAAAAGGCTGGCGTTCGTTTCATCTGGATGCGTATTGCATCCCGGAATCGGATAGGCTGCGCAGAGACGTCCCTATTTATTACCACAGAAAAACACTTCCGAAATGGTCATAATCCACTGTGATGTTTGCTTTTTTTTCTTTGCCTCAAATGTAGCATGTTTATTTGAGCCCTGCCGTGACTGTTAATCTGGGAGTGGAGTGGACCGTGTTTTGCCACAAGGTGGCCCCTATATCATACCCTATGGCTCCTACGTCGGGACCTGTGCGCAGGGAAAGTCCTCATTAAAAGTTCTATTATTTATGCATCTTTTTCACCTGGAGAATTAAAATTAGCACAAAGATCTTTTATTGCTTCTATTTACAAGCGAATTGAAGCAAAAACGGGGGTTTTCAAATGCATGTTTAGGTAAATAAATTCCTACAAATTCGCATCAGAATATATCACTTCCCTCACATCAGTGATGTCATCAATGTAGCTACTTTTATATATATATAAACTAACTATCAACATGGATCCAAGTAGTACCAACATATTTGACATAATAAAAGAATAGAAGAAAAATACTGTGTTTCCAAGGAAGTTTGAGTGAAAGAGACTCCTCCTGGCCTTTAGATTTCACCTCAGTGACCTATTTGGACTCATTCCCACACTAGTAGGTAAATACCTCCAATTGTTTTCCATTGTAGGTAAATACTACACATTGGTTGGCACCTTCCCTGCATTCCCTAAGCTTTCATCACACTGGAAACTAAGCATTACAAGTCTTTAGAGTGTTTGGCAACCATCCTTTTCAAATTTAATCCACATTTTATGTCATAGCCAGGTCAGAGCAGTTAGATTTTAAAGGTTTGATAGAGCAACAAACCCTATAGATTGAAAATAGATAGACAAAGAGTGTGTGCATAAGATCAAATAAAAAATAATTTTTCATTATGGGACACACAAAATACATAAATACACTCTAAATGGATGCACACAAATCAGGGCAAAAGCATATGGGTGAGAATTTAGAGTATTTGTGAATCCATCCATGAGTATAGTGTTTTTCTTTGTTCATTGTCCTCTGAGACCTTTTGAATTAAAATCTCTTCAATTCGCAGGTTACATATGGTTTAAGAATTGCAGAGGTCTGTTCTGTGGCTGTGAAAGTTGTTAAGCAACCAGAGCGATCACGTTCCCCTCTGCTGAAAGGAGAAATATTCCATATTGTATGGCAGGCAAGTAATCTCATTTACAGAAGCCAGTAAAGCCGTCTTTACATGTATGAACTAGAGACATTCTTTAAGATGCAATCTCATACTTAGTGTGCAAAAAACATTTGCTTTATTATACACTATTATCAACGTCAAAAGAAGCAGTGTATAAACACCCTCAATTGTGAAAGGATTAAAAAGGAATCTATATATCTAATACATTACATAGCTACACAGACTTTGTTTTTAGAAAGTGCCATTTGCAAATAACACCTCTTGCACATTTGGACTTCATTATGAGTTTTTTCAGTAAGTAGCACGTTTTTTTTACATTACCATCTGAATTTATCCAGATTCTTGATCCTTATGAGACTTGGCGAGATCTCTGTCCCCTCTCCCTATATTGAAACCTGAGGAATCCACAGAAGTCTAGGGACATGATTTCATGTAATTTCCACAAATGTTGATCAATAAAGAAAAATCTGAACTTGACTGTTAGTGTTCACAAGTTTTTGTCTTGAAGCACACAAACCCACTGTGTGCTATATTGTTTGTTTGTTTTTTATGCTGGTCCAGTTTTTGTTTTTATCCTCTATCATTTTAGGCACCTTGCACAGCTGATTTAACCACTTGATGTCAGTCTGTTGATCAAAATCTTTGATTCTTTGCACACAAGAACATAAAATTATAAACAGAGATACAGAACAGCAGCACTGGCATGGCTCCGCTGTAGAGTGCTTCCAATAAATAATTGGTTAAGATAGCTTTACTGAATTGAACACACAGGCTGCAAAGCACTGGTGTGAAAACGGTAGTCTTAATCTTAATCTTAATTTTGAATAATGTGTATGAATGCAGATAACAGCAAATGCCCACAGACATTTATCACTGTGTATTTTTAGTATTATGGCTTCGGTTGTACTTTTTAGGCTTTTCAGTTTTAAGTCTAAACACTGATGCATGGGGAATGTAGGTGTGGTTCTGATTGGCAGGGGCATTGTTTTGCAAACACCTGTTGTGCCTCCATGAAGCAAGCCTGTGTATATACACGGCTGTGGACTCGGTCAAACCCGAGTCTCGTCGTTTAACTTCAGCAGCCGCTGCATCCTCACCGGGACACCACAACACAAAGGCTTGTTGTGCAATTAATAGAAGGCTTTATTGTTGCGGCGCGTAAATGCGCATTAAGGGTTACGTTCCGCGTTCATTAAGACATTCCTGCGCGGATTGGGGCGACAGAGAGGCTTTACATAATAAACTGCAAGCATTCACGTGAAATGCCCCTTTAAAAGCCGGCTCTCTTCGGTCACACCGAGGGGCATCGTAAACAAGCGGAACGAGAGGAGTCTGTGACAGCTGCACTTTGGTGTGTCAAACCAGGCTTCAGGATGGTTTCTTCGTACCCTTTACCGGAGGGCTTCTCCGAGTTTGATGTGTTTTCCCTGGGATCTTGTCTGCTTGTGGAGGGTAAGTTATGTCTTGGAATTCAGCCAAATACTACGAGGACTTTGCCTGCTGTGTTTGCCATTAACCTACGCCAGGACATGTCTCCTCCCGATCACTGACACGGACCCGTTTCTCTGTAAACTTGCAAAATAATGCTTACTTATGGTCTAAAAACAAAACAAAATAAAATAAAAATGAATGCGACGCATGTCTAGAGCGTGTTCTCTTTCGCCTGAGGTGTGAGCTATTTCGCAGCAAGCATCGCTGTGCGCGCTGATTTGCATTGTGTGCGTTTTTTGTTCCCCTTCCCCAAAGGTCTGCTGGGCTTCTTTCTAAATGCGGTCACAATGCTTGCTTTCCTCAAAGTGAGAGAACTGAGGACTCCCAGCAATTTCCTAGTATTCAGTTTAGCGATGGCTGATATTGGCATCTCCATGAACGCCACGATCGCCGCTTTCTCCAGCTTTCTGAGGTGAGTGATGTAACCATCCCTTTCATAATGGACATCGAGGTCCATCCGCATGTGGGTGGGATGAAATGTAATGAGAAAATAATGCCGGTGACAATAGGCTACTGCTGGCCACCTGTTGTGACGAATCATCTGTACAGAGCTGTATAATCGATGTAGAGTGGTCCAATTAAGGCTGTACAGTGAAGAGGGTCAGTACAGAGCATATTCAAACTGCAATCAGGAAATGAGACACGTTGCTCTCAGTGTTCACCAGTTCATGGATTAAATGTTATACTAGTGATTTGTTTATGTATTTTACTAAAATTGGTGCTTAAGGGGTTTCTTGTGTCAGTCAACTTTGAATACATCCTCTGTCTTTAGGTATTGGCCTTATGGCTCTGATGGATGCCAGACTCATGGTTTCCAGGGCTTCATGACAGCTCTTGCCAGCATCCACTTTGTAGCTGCCGTTGCCTGGGACAGATATCACCAGTACTGCACCAGTAAGTCAATATCTGGCTGATGATACCAAATGCAGTCAACTTTTCCTCTCCTATGTTGCACAAATGTGCACATAAATCAGCCAAGTACGCTGCTGTCTTTAAATTTTCTACAGACAAAATAAGAGAGAATATGCAAATAAATAGCAACCTGAACAGTTGCTATAACACAGGCTGACACCTCTGTACTAAAACTGCAACCTGGAAGGCTTGAGTGTTAACAATAAGTCCTACACCCTATTTTTAAACATCATTACCAGGGTACATGGGCAAGAGGAAATGACTCAACTCAAATGTCCCTTGGTTTGAACAGTTAGTGCAGGGTTTATTACACTGTTGTTAACTCTGTTATAAATGTTGCAAACAAGCAGCTCTAGTTAAGATATTAGTTTTGCTAAGAATGCACATTTGTTTCTTAGCAGCAGTGTGACATTTAAAACAGAAACAAAATCAGTAGCCTACTTGAGTATGCATTCATTGTGTTGCTGGTGTTTAGACTAGTCATAAAGAATATTGTTCTTCCCAGGGACAAAGCTGCAGTGGAGCAGTGCCATCACTCTGGCTGTGTTTGTGTGGCTGTTCACTGCCTTCTGGTCCGCCATGCCCCTCATTGGCTGGGGAGAGTACGACTACGAGCCCCTCAGGACTTGCTGCACACTGGACTACAGCAAGGGAGACAGGTACCATATACAAACATAATTTCTGCACAGTGCTTGCAAGATAAATATATGTTATTTTCACTTTTTTTAACCTGGTGTGTGTGTCTCTGTCCATAGAAACTACGTGTCCTACTTGATTCCAATGAGCATCTTCAACTTGGGTATCCAGGTGTTTGTCGTCATGTCTTCTTACCAATCCATTGCACAGAAATTCAAGAAGACAGGAAACCCCAGAGTAAGTTCAGTAAATTAAATTATGCACAAACTTTAGCAACATAAGATTAGAAGAAGATGTCTTTTGCTGGGGGGAAAGGTGTTGTAGATTGCACTGATATCCAGATTCACTTTGGAGTAGCAAGAAACGCATACAGAACAAATCCAAACAAGTTTAACTGAATTTTGGGAATTACTCCAAAATCAAAGAATCTGACATTTATAAGAACAGATGCATAAATCCTCTAAAATATGTAGTCCTTGTAAAGGCTCTCTATGCTTTGAAGTTGCCCACTGAAAGAAATCAGAGGGATTCTCCTCAACCTAGCATAAGCACAATAGCCTCATTTGGCCTTTATTCAGAGACACAAAACAGTGTGTGAATGAAGAGCATTTACGCTGGGATATATGTAGGTCATTACCACAGGGTGAAGATCAGTGGCTTTAGCTGGGAATGTGGGTACTGGTGTGCAGTGAGAAGAACAATGTTCAATAGGGGAGTTCTGGAGGGGTTGAATCAGGTGACCCGCTTTGTGTTGCATAAGCTCATTACTTACAGTCATCCGAGCTGGCTGGAGGGACACTTTGATTACAAACACAAACTGCCCAGTAGATACACCCAGTACTCCACCAGAGAATAGAGATGGCACGATACCACTTTTTCATGTCCAATACCGATATCATAAATTTGGATATCTGCTGATACCGATATGAATCTGATATAGTGTGTTTTTTAATCAATAAAACTGTTTTTTTAAATATCTTGCTGCTTTTTGTATAAGTTCATACTCAAGTTTAAAAACAAACAAACACTAAAGCTATTCTGTTATACCTGTATGCAAAAAATACACTGCACCCAAAATATTTCATAGTTCAGCAATACTGATCAATCTAATAAACTTAAACCTTCTCCATCCTTCCTATTCTGGTATTTTAAAGAGTAAGCAACCTAACTAATAGGGCTCTAAAACTCCCAGCAAAAAGAAAATAAAAATAGGGAACCACCCACCCTCCACCTCATGATGCTTAATTGATGTAATCAACTTTAATTTGATGCAGTGTGGGGAAAAATGCACAGAAATCTATTTTTTTTTTAAGAATAATTAAATAGATTCAACATCTTTCTTCAACAGAACTGCAGACTGCACAGATGGTACCTTCCCAAAGGAAAAAGTACTATAGCTTACTAGGGTATATTAGACTTAATAGTTACTATGTACAGTAATGGACTTCTATAAATTTTACATCAGATTAAAACTTTGGTTGTAAGATTCAGATAATTATTTATTAAAAGCTAGACATTTTAAATGAGAATAAGAAAGAAAAGTATGTCTTTGTGCCCCCTTTCCCTGTTCATGCCCTATCGGCCCCCTTGGCTAAACTTTGCTAGATCCGCCCCTGCACAGTTACCAGCCGTCAGCTATGTAAAAAAGGATCCTGGTGTAGAAAGTAATAACAACAGCTTATCAAGCTTAAACGTGCTGCTGTTGTTAAGCCGCTGGTTTCCTCTTTCTGGCGCGAAGTGAGCGATAGACAAGCAAGAGAGATGGACTCGTGACAGAAAAGCCAATCAGCTGATCATTGATCAGTTTCATGACTTCATGTTTGAAGTAGCAGCAGGAGAGGGAGGGAGAGAGAAGAGACAGTCGCTCCATATATCGGCTGTAAAGCTTAACGCGGGAATGCTTTACAAACATTCAGAGATGAACTTACACACTTGCTTTACTTCTCTCGGGGATAACTTCCTCGGAGATGAAATGCCAGATTGGTAGGCTATACACACAGCCGCTCTATCACCTGAGGCATACTGCTGCCACGGTTAATGATCCAAGTTATGCCTTGTCGCAAGTTTTGTGAGGTGCTTTTTTTATATATTTAATGGATCGATTACATTTTTCATTTCTCTCCGATATCCGATCCAATTTACGTCAGTATCTGACCGATACCGATACTAATATTTGGATCGGTCCATTTCTACCAGAGAACAGTAATTATGTAATAATCAAACAGTTTACAGTCAAATTATTAGAAAAGGGGGAAAGTCTGCATTAAAACTTGGAAGCAGAACAACGCCTAGGAATGTGACACAACCTAAATTAAGGAGAGAAAATGGTCACAAATAATTTGGGGTTATCTAAAAGAAAACTCCATCTTGTAAATGTTTTAATCAGTTTTACAGAGCTGATCATTATCCCTTCTGGAAAGGTTCAAGCATAAGCAAATGTCAGTGTTTCTTTTCAGCTACTTACAGATGATTAAATATAAGTATGTAGGGAATCCCCGATACAGATTCACCATGGTGCTAGAACACTTGGACATTTTGACTTTAAGTGGACTCGTATGTCATTGAGGGGTTTTTTTTTCTTTTGGTTTGTTTGTATTAGAAAAAGACAGAAAACAGTAGTTTGTGAGCCACAGATTTATCTGCCAGGCACAACAGCAGTAAGTGCCTGATCAGGATTTAACAGACAGTGACTTTGTGTACTCTTCCACACCTCAGACAGATCACAGTTTCTTAGCTATAGTTCCATTATAGCTGTTGGGACAATTTTATTTAGTTTTTTGTAAGCTTAGTATATTTACTGTTATTTAAAGTACAGCCTGTTTAAGTCAGCAATATTTTTTCCGTCTTTTTAGCTTTAATAATAGAGACTTTGTGGTACTGTGCAGTGTTTACATGTTCTCCCTGTGCTTTTGTGGGTTCTCTCTGGGTACTCTGATTTCCTCGAAAGAGACGAATGTTAAGTTAATTGAGGAGTCTAAATTTGATGTAGGTGTGGATGTGAGCATGAATGGCTGGCTCTGTGTTAGCCCTGTAATTTGTCTGGCAGCCTGCCTAGTGTGTATTCTGTGTGTCACCCACTGTCAGGGGTGATACAGAAAATAGATGGACGGATGGGATTTTTATAAGCTTAAATCAGGCTAATGTCCAGCAAAAGCATTACAGTGCATATGGCTTTATTTTGATAAAGTATCATTAAACACAGAGAATTTTGTCTATTCTTGTCTGACTTTATTTCGAGCATTTTGGAGTCTTCATCTTTCTCTGGGGATAAATTAAACAATCCTCTATAAACAAAACTATTTTATTTACCTCATGAACCTAGAAGCAAGCTCATTTTACTGAGCTAACATTAACACTCAGTGTAGGACTGTCTTTCACAAACACACATTTGATAAAATGGCCTCAAAAACAAATTGTTTATAGAGGTTTAGCTAATGTAATGTTCCCATTTGAAAGTCAGTTCATTCAATTCTACCAAATTGGTAGCAGTTCACCTAGACTGCACTGCCAACATCGTCCTCATAGAGCCTAAAGTTTAAACCTGCTTTCATACAAAAAATGAAAGCTCACAAAATATTTGAAAATCACTAATGTACTCTGATTGCTTTTCAAAAGATTACTATATCACAAATCAGGAGCAAAACAAGAACTTATATGTCTTTATAAGAGGCGGCTGGTTGTGATGGTAGCCCAGTTAGTTGGGTGCTGCTTGAAATGTGTGAAATCATTATGGAGAATGTTTTAAAGCTGCTTTGGTGCATACAGAAATGTGTTTTACTGAAATTTAACACTTTTTTTTATCTCGACCCCGGCTATCAAATTAAATTTTTTAGAAAAAAAGTGTTCGGACTTTCCTTTTACAATGGGTCTTTAAGGACTCACTGTCTGGTTTCCCTATGGACGGTCTGTTTCCCAGGCAGTACAAACTGAGTGTGTAATAATAGCCTATTAAATAAGTAAGTAAATATTTATTTATAAAACATCCTTCAAGATAAATATCACAAAGTGCTTCACAATGAAATCATATGTTTTTCATCCCACTTTTAAATCAAACATAAACCCCAGTTTTTCATCATTTCTTATGTGTAGCATACATTTGTGGAGCTCTGTGAACAGAGTAAATCTAAACTCAATCTATGGACACAGTAACCCAAAAAGTTACTATACAATTAAATGACCAAAAAGTGACAAATAGACATTTGTATGCACAGTAAGCAAAAGTGTTCAGTTCTGTGAGGTCAAAAATCTTTTTTTTTAAGGTAATATAGTGTCAGTGAAACGATGTTAAGAAAACTAAAGCTACTTATAGGTAGGAATTGTGAAAACTATATGTAAATTTGTCAGTGCTGCTTTGTATGTGTGAACTATGGTGCAGAATAATGTCTGCTTTCAGCCTTGGATTACACAGACCTGCCCTCTCATTCACCCACTCAGTGTTTTTGTTTTGTAGCTTAGCATTGATGATCTTAGCACAAACTCGTTTTCACCCGGGCATGTGACTTGCCTCCAAGCAGACAACCTCATGACACAAAGCCTTTTTCTCACCTTCACTCTTTGTGGTTTGCTAATCATTTTTGTTCTTATCCTCTCTTTTTCCCACTTTTCATTCCTTTGCACATTAATCCTCCCTCCACTACCTATTGTTTCCCCTCCACAGTTCAACCCCAACACTCCTCTGAAGACTATGCTGTTCTGCTGGGGGCCCTATGGGATCCTGGCTTTCTATGCTGCTGTGGAGAATGCAAACCTTGTCTCACCTAAGCTCAGAATGGTAACAACTATCATTACATACTTTGGCACAAAGTTTTTCTGACTCCACTTAGTAATGCATTAAAGAAATACAGCTTAGCTTAGCTGCTTGTTTTTGCATGTAGTTCAAATGTACATATTTAATATAAAACATTTGTTCCTTGAATTTAAAGAATTCTGCCCTTTGTTACAGAAGACATGCAAAGCGCCATGTGGAGTCCAAAACATGAATAAACAACACAAATTATTTCCTAATATTTCTGCTAAGAAGAATCTAATTGAACATAATATTTGGGTCCTGTCTCTGCAGATCGCGCCTATCCTGGCTAAGACTACTCCCACCTTCAATGCCCTCCTGTACGCACTGGGAAATGAGAACTACAGAGGTGGCATTTGGCAGTTAATCACCGGGGAAAAGATTGATGTGCCTCAAATTGAGAACAAGTCCAAATAAACTGAGCATGCAATAATTACATGCATTCTGTCCTTGTGGTTTCTCGCAGGTACATAGATGTTTGTGAGTGTCTGTGCATTTTGTGTGTCTTGAGCAGTGGTAGCCATTGCACCTGTTCTGCTCCCCGTTGTGTCTGCAGTTGTATTTCTAAAATGATTGTCACATTACAAAATAAACATATGAAATAACAAGTACCTCCTAATGGACTTTGGGAGATCAGCATTAGTTTATTGTGCTGTTTAATAATATACAGTTCCATACACAACAGCAGAAACTTTGGGCTTGGCTACTTCTGTAACCACATGAATTTCTCTGTCACTCAATTCAAATGTGATTTGTTTTAATTTTGAGTTCAGAATTAAACATATCCATCCATTCATGTTAATCCAGTTAGTTTTAATGCAAACACTCCTGCAGAGCAAGTGATGCACAGAGCAAATATGACTATTTATTCTTTTACAGACTCTGCTACAGCAGCCTGGGATATTTTAATCATTTTTCACTTTGCTTATAGTGCAAATGTCCTTGCAGACAGCAATCAGAGCATTTTCTCCTTACTAGTTGCCTATTTTGCTATCTGGTTGAAGATGAAAGGCTCTTAAATAGATTAATTCAGCTAAAAAAGAGACATCACAGTCTGACATTCAGTTTCTTAATCTTTATGGTGCCTGTTAATGAAATATGAAAGTGCATTCAGGCCACTGATATCCCATCATGTGTTGCAGGGTTGTGAGTGATCTCTCTCACCATTAATCCTCTAAAAAAGAGGACCATTCTTGAATTCACAGCCCCCACAACACTCTGCCTGTAGATCGACTGAACATGCTTCTTTCCTCCACGCCAGCATCTAAAGTTTGCTATAACAATACAATATCACCAAGAACTGAATAAATCAGTGTTATTTACTGAGGCGAATTCATGTCTGGTCCAGAGTGCTCTATGAATTAATGTTCAAGGAACATTTCACTTCATCCATTTGACTTCTGCATATCATGAAATTTGTTTTTACTTTGATGTTTATGTAAAATACACCATTGTTTAATAAGCACAACATTGAACAATACACAGTACCATACTGGTTATTATAAAATGACTATTTTTTTAAGTAGGTTTCAGAAACCACGTATCACATTCTTATGGTTTTCTTTTACCAACTGTTGATACTCGTAATATGAAATGCTAAAATGTATAACACACGTAAACTTTTGGAAAACAGCAGAGTGCTTCAGAATGTAATATAAAAGTTGTTTTAAAAAGGATATGTTTTTAAAGATGAGGACTACTTTAACAAATCATTTTTCTGTTTTATGTTACAACATAAAATACATTTGTGGTCACAAATCATTCACACTCATCATGGACATGAATGTCATGATAATTCTGGGCTTTTAATGATTTCTTTGAACTGTTCATTTTCCCAGATGGAGTCATTGGAGTCAGAAAACAAGAATTTGGTGCCCACGTTTCAAAGTACTTTTATTTTTCTCCAATCCGCATACACACACCCCGACTACTATTTGGTCCTTTAGCAAGTTGCACCTCAACCAGATGCTTTTAGCAGCCATAAACAAGCTTCTGTATAATTGTGGTTTAATATTTGATCACTCTTCTTGGCAGAATCGGTAGAGTTCATTTTAATTAGTTGGGTTCCTGGCACGAATGGATTTTATGCACAGTCCACAAATGTTCAGTAGGGTGAGGTCAGGGCTTTGGGAAGGCTGTTTCAGAAGTTTATTGTTAGCCTAATTTATTGATTCCAAAATCAGTTTTGATGTGTATTTGTGACTGTGCCAAAATAGCTCAATCTTTGTCTCGTCTGACCATACAATTAAACTTTTCTCCTGAAGTCATTTGACGTATTAATTGGGCAGATCCAAATTTTAGTCAAGATCAAAGGTGTTGAGTTTGGAGCAAGGGCTTTATTCTTGTTGGTACCCTCAGTCTTGTGTTGTTTCTGAGCATCATTATCAGTTTGCTCTCATCTGAGGGTGACAGTTTGGGGTTTTTTCCAGTACTTGGCAAAGCGGTGACACATTCGAATAACTTATCGTTATGTACAACTAATTGAACTGATTACTGTGGACTGGCAGGTGTTTAGAAATGTCTCCAAGAGACTTTCCTGGGAAAATGCAATGAATGAAATAAATGAAGTCCTTTCAAATCTTAAATATTAGTTGGTGGAATCTGAAAGACAACAATTCTACTCTACAATGTATACAGTAGATTTTGTATAATGACCGGTCCCTATAAAATCCTATAAATACTGGAAAACATTGTTTTTGTGTGGCTGATGTAATGTTTATAATTTGCAGTCATCCTGATTAATCTAAAACAGTGACAACATGCACTCAATATCCATTCAATAATCAAATAATAAAGAATTGCAGATAGATAAACTCTCTTGTCTTTTCTTATCGTTTTATTCATGTTCAAAAAGATTATGATGCTTATCTAACAAATGTAAATTACCATTAATGACTGACAGTCCTTGTGAGGTTTAAATAGCAGCTATGTGTGCAGTGCTGGAAACCTCTTTCTCTTGAATCTTAACTTTGAGAATTCAAATGAAAAGATGCACAGAGCAAGTTCAACACTTGGAATCAGCTAAACAAGGAAAAAGGATTTGCCTGGTCATGAAACTGCTTGTCCATGAATTATCCAATTACTTTTGACCCTCTGAAAATATGGAATGATGTGTAAAAGGGGTTGTAATTCCTAAAAAACACTAATTCCAAATTTTTCTGAAAAGCTTGAATTAATGCTGAAACACTGCAGGTCAATCACATCTTGATTGTTTGCTTTAAAAACCACTGTAGTTGTGTACAGGAGGTAAACTATCAAATAAAATTCACCATTATCAAAAATAAGCATCAAGATCTAACTGTATAAAGATCTGATGTATACAGTATGTATTGTTGCGTGTATTTCTACTCTTCAGTATCGCTATTTGTACTTGAGTTTAGCTCTGGGTATTTCTTCCTCCACCGGATGTGTGTCAGGGTGATTACACTGTAGTATTCATTCAACCAGCATTGTGGACCTAACACTCAGTGGATGTAACATACAGTAGAAGCCCACAGTTGGTGTTTTTAAGCAGATTAACTGATGACAGTCTGTCAGTTGAGTGTGTTGTTGCATAATTAAGAACTGCTGACACATGTGTCATCAGCAACTTTCTCATTTATTGCAGGTAAGTCAACCATTTTCCATTAGAAATTGGACATTTATGGTTCCTTGATCTGTACTTGAAAAAAAGGACTATTTCTGCTAGATGCAAGAGTCCTCTAGAGATTATTTTAGTAATTATCAACATAAAATAACCACCAGAGCCTTAATGACATGTACATTCAAGTCCCCGGACACTGGTGGGCATATGGAGCTGTCATCTGGTAGGAAGGGTTACTCTGACCCCACTTCCTGAACCGCTGCAGGCCGTTATTAACTGCCAACATGAAAGGATCTGTTGTTTCAAAGAGCATTACGCAAGAAATAATTAGAAAGTCAGTTCACCACCAGAGTAAAATAGTAGTAAGCTCACCCAGCGCTTATCATTTCAGCTCCTATCTGGTATCGCCATAATTTCTCCAGGAATCAAAATAGTGGAACATCTTCAACTCAGCAATTTTAAGTAAAATGAAAAGTACAGGAAGCTTATATTTTCTAGATAATAAAATATTAAACAAGAAAAAAAATAAGAAAATACTTGTTTCTGTGCAGTATGTTATCCCTGACTATGAAGAATTGCTGTGAAACACTTAAGGATAGAGATAAAATCTCGTTAAAGGGTTTATTAATAGCTAATCATGAAGTGTCGTCATAGATGATGTCTGCAGATTAATTATTTAAGCCACACTGGCCAAAGATTTACTTCAAATAGCTGCTGGATTATGTTATACTCTGAATCCAAATGTCTGGCAGCAGAGCACGGGTAGCTTTTTTTT